AAAAAAAAAAAAAAAAAGGCGGATTGGCAGATGTTAGCACAGGGCTGATCTCCTCACAAAAGACAAAAAAAAAAACAAAGCTGTGGTACAGGAATTCTGGTGAAATGGGAGATGCCTTGGGTAGAAGAGACACAATGAAGAATTGTAAATAAATTTTAAAGTACATTTTTATCCGTCTTATAGCCGGGCCTAACCCCTCACTAGGTACATAGTAAGCATTTGGCAGATATTGAAGTAGATTGTAAGGTATGTAAAGCTTTTGTTCACTGCTGTATCCTCAGTGCCTAGAAGAATGTCTGGCACATGGCAGACACTTAAATGTATTTGTTGGATGATGAATATACTGCTTTGAGTTGGCCAGTAGAACTTAGTGTAATAAGGCCCGCCTCCCTCTTCTCTCTTCCTTTCATTTGGCCCCATTAGCCTGTCTCCTTCAGATGGAGCCAGTAAACTACGAACGAGTGAAAGAATACAGTCAGAAAGTCCTGGAACGACAGCCTGATAATGCCAAGGCCTTGTATCGGGCCGGAGTGGCCTTGTTCCATCTGCAAGACTATGACCAGGCTCGGCACTACCTCCTGGCTGCTGTCAATAGGCAGCCAAAAGGTGAGAGAGAAGAGGATTGAAGTGGTAAGGACAAATAAAACTGTCCTGCTGAGGTGGTTTCTGTGGAAGAGGGTTGTATTTTATTTTACTTTTACAATTTATTGAATTTTTTGAATAGGTAATAATACATTCACATGGTTCAGAATTCAAAAGTATAAAAAGGTGTGTAATGAATAGGCCTTTTTCTTCTCTTGTATTCTTGCCTTCACAGGAAATATTTATGCTTAAACAGGCAGACATATAATCTCTCCTCCTCCCTCCAGTGGAAGAGATTTTAATTGTTTTTCAAGTTTCAGTTCCTACATTGTGACTGAAATAGGATCTAGATTCCAATGAATAAACTTGATAATCCCCATTTCTGCCAACTCTCCAGCTGGGGTCTGGCTTTTGCTTTAACTCTCATTTTATCCATTAGCTCAGCTAACCCCAGGTATGACCTAGAAAATAGGCAAGCCTACTGAGAGAGAATTTGCGACTTGGTACGTTGTTTCCAAGGCAAAAAAGGATATTGTGAAGCAGATGACAGACTAATTCCTGTGTTGGTGGTTCACCACTGAAAATTGTCTCCCTTTTTGCCTTCTGGCTTTGAGCAGCTACTAGATGCTAGAAGCAGAGGGTCCCCAAACATATAAATGCAGTTAAATGTCACTAAATGAATGGGAACCACTATGAATTGATAAAGATATAAAATACGAGCCATTTGTTCATGTTTCTGACCTTCAGGTACACAGATTCACTGCCACCCAGGTATAGTACTTGTAGAGGCTCTGCTATGACAATAACTATTTCTCCAAACTCCTTTTTATTATTAAATTAGCAACCAGCCCAGCTCTGTACAGAGATTTTTAAAAATTCAAAGTGGTATTAATGAATGAGATTTACTATTGCACAGAATAGTTGTGATATATTCAGATCTTAGAAAGATTTTTTAAGAAATGGAAGTGTATGGGGCCGGCCTGGTGGCATAGTGGTTAAGTTCGTGCGTTCTGCTTTGGTGGCCCAGGGTTCACGGGTTCACATCTCGGGTGCGGACCTACACACCACTCATCAAACCATGCTGTGGTGGCATCTCACATACAAAGATAAAGGAAGATTGGCACAGATGTTAGCTCAGTGACAATCTTCCTCAAGCAAAAAGAGGAAGATTGGCAACAGATGTTAGCTCAGAGCCAATCTTCCTCACAAAAAAAAATAAATAAATAAATGGAAGCATGTTAACAATCCTCTCCTGCGCTGAGGTGCGATTATGGTCTGTCTCTAATTGCCTTCTTTGCCCTATTCTAAGATGCCAATGTCCGGCGGTACCTCCAACTAACACAGTCGGAACTCAGCAGCTACCACCGGAAAGAGAAGCAGCTGTACCTGGGCATGTTTGGTTAACAGAGAAGAAAGATGCTTCTCCACTTGAACTTAGGTAAACCAGTAAAGACCCATTGAGGGGAAACCTGAGCCTCAGCAAGAGAAATTAGTCCCATACCTCTGACCCAGGTGGATTTCTGTTTTGTTTCTAATTCTGCACAAACTCTTTACCACTTACACAGTCTGTGCCTTTTTTGTGTCTATCCATCTATGTATTTGTATAGCTTTCAATAAGTGGTATTCTTGGGGATATTTGCCTTGAGAAATACAACCAGAAAACATTCATCAGCTATGGGTGGAATTAATCATACCTATAACATAGATTTTAATGATAGATGTTATCAGATATCTTCATATACAGAGGACAAGGCCAGCAGAGGATGAAATAATAAGGATAGGCAGAAAGGAGTTTATTCCTTTTTTTCCTCAGATGCCCAAAGTCAAAGTTTCACAGGCCACAAACTGGGAAATATATTTTTTTGTGAAACTAGATGATTATAAATTGGGCCCGCATGGCTTAAAATGAAAGATTTGAAATTAATCGTTTTGATTAAATTAATTCCTTATTCTTAATATTCCACCTACATTCAGATTCTTTTTCCCCTACAAAAGTATCTGGTTTCTGTTGTTTCTCTTGGTGATTTCTAGTCTTTGGTATTCATATTCACATCATTAATATAGTATACTTATTTTTTCATTAAACTCTTCTATCTTAAAACCTCTGGAGTCAAGCGTTTAAGTATTTAATAACCCTTCAGCCCTCATGCCAAAAAAACACCCAAGTAAACATTTTTATTTTTAATAGGTATATATCTATAGTATGCTCGTTTCTCTAAAAAACATAGGAAAGACAGATTACCAAGTCTTCTAGAAACAATACCATAAAAGAGCAGGATAAAAACATTAATCTATTCTTTACCTGTCTCCTTATGTTTTGCAAGAGCTCAGTTCCTTACAGAGGAGGGAAATAATGAGGAAGAGTTCTACTTCCTTAGTGCCTTTTAAGCACCTGATGGAACTTTCTGAAAGCTTTGTTGGGCATGGGTGCAGGCTGCAGATCTGGTACAGTCATGGCTCAGTAGGAGGCTCCATCAACCAGGAGCTCCTTTGTTATTCTGGGTACTTGTGAATAATGTCCACACTGTATGAGTTCTACAGAGTAGATGAGACCATATAGCACTGCCTCTACCTTTTTGAGTGGGGCTGATAAGCTTGTGTCGTTAGCCATCATATAACCATAGAAAGATTTCAGAAAAGAAAAAAAACCTTAAGTCTTGCCAAGTGTACATGAATTCTTCTCCCTTTATCAGTAATGCCCCCTCTCCCAACGAGCTAGGCTCCTCTTTGTCTCCCTATACTCTTAAATAATGCAACCAAGAGCTTACAACAAAAACTTTTTCTGCCAAATAATCCTCTGAAGTCCAAGGACAGAACTAACAACAGTCTAATATTTTATTCCTCTTCCAAGCTTCTTGAATTTCTAAGCCTAGTTTGTTGACAAAATTATGTCATGGTTGCATGTTTTGTTTGCTTTGGGCTGGTTTTGCTTTCTGCTTTTCTTTTCTTTCAAAGACTTGATGTCATAATAAGCTATCTTCTGCATCAATGAGGAAAAAATAAAACTGATATTTAAAAATATATTTAAGAAATTTATTGCACGAATCCTTTTATTAGTCCTGCTAAGAGACAAAGGCTTACATTTCAGTCTTTATTTTGAAGGCCAGCTCCTAATGGAGATGTTAATGAACAGGAAAGTGGACAAAGGTAGGTGGTCAGAGGTGGGTCTGGAGGAGGTCTAGCAAGCCCACATCCTGAAGGCATCAGCCAGAGGGTGCCTAAATCTCTGTACTCAGAAGTTGGTGGAGGGGGAGGGTGCTCACCTTACCAATCCTTAATGGTTTCCACACAGGATTTGAGGGTTTGACTGAAGACAAAGCATTCATGGTGAATGTGAAGGTTCATCTTTGGCACATAAGGGACAGTTTAGAACAGTGTTTCCTGACTCACACCTACCACCTTTACACTTTTGCCAAAACCACATACTGTCTAAACTACTATTTCATCAATATTTTATTTAAATTTATATTTTTAAAGGAATTTTTGGACAGAGGAACATGTTAAATGATACTATGGAGATGTGATCAGCAAACTCCAGACTGTGAAACCATAAGATGAATAACCCAATTTCTTCAATAAATAAATTGCAAGGAAAAAGGGAGAGGAGGGGCCAGCCCAGTGGTACAGTGGTTAAGTTCGTGCATTCCGCTTCAGTGGCCTAGGGTTCACCAGTTCAGATCCTCGGCGCAGACCTACTCACTGCTCATCAAGCCATGCTGAGGCGGCGTCCCATGTAAAAGAGCTACAACTATGATACACAACTATGTACTGGGGCTTTGGGGCAGACAAAAAAAAAGAGTGGCAACAGATGTTAGCACAGGGCCAATCTTCCTCAAAAAACAAAACAAAACAAAATTAAAAAACGGGAGAGGAACCTATAGATTAAAAGAGGCTTAGGAGACATCGACCAAATCAATGTGACTCTATTTTGGATAGAGTTTTTGAGACTGTGAAATAATGGAAAATATATATATTGGTCTCTTCATGGTTCCTGGCACAGAGCTCCTAAATCCTATTTTGGATTCTGATTTGAAAAAAACAACTAAAAGTTTATGAGACAATCAGGGAAATTTGAACAAGAATTATTGTCAATTTTGTTGAGTACGGTAATGGTATTTGGTCTTTTTTTTTCTTCAAGAGTTCTTTTAGAGGTGCTTACTGAAATTACTTACTGATAAAATTGGGGAGGGGACTTTAGAGCACTTCATATCATTTGCCCAAAAAACCCATAAAAATAAATATATTTTACAATAAAAAAAGTATTAGTATATGTCCAAGTAAACCATCTTTGGAAACACTGTCTTTGGAGAAATTAAAATTGAAATCCAACGTGAAGGGCTGAAATGGTGAGATCTGTGAAGCTAAGCTTGGCCAAATGACAAAATAGCCAATTAAGAAAAGAAATCCTAAACTAGAAATATATCTCTAAAGCTGAGAGGAAAGGGTGGTTGTCAGAAAACTAAGTCAATTCATAGCTCAAACGCAAATAAGTTCTCAGGGTGAAACTCTTGGCCCGTGCCCCCCACATAGGGAGGCTGATTTTGGCTCAGTAGAAGGAAGCATTAGCCAACAACTGGGGCTGTCCAACAACAGAATAGGTTTCCTCTGGGGATAGTGAGTTCTCGTTCAAGCAGAGATTTAACAACTGGCAAAAGGAGGATCCAGTGCTGGACTAGAAGTTAGATGAACTGACCTGTGGTTCCTTGAATCCGTAGATGGGACCACCAAGAGCAGTGGAAACTAGAGAAAATTCTCCATTGATGACTCTTTACAGACTGGCATAACCTGTTCCTAGTGTCCAGCAGATAAAGTGAGGCAACTGTGGCCTTAGTTGTGTTGGTTACTGCTTTAAACATCTTTTTTTTTGTGTGAGGAGATCAGCCCTGTGCTAACATCCGCCAATCCTCTTTTTTTGCTGAGGAAGACTGGCCCTGGGCTAATATCCATGCCCATCTTCCTCCACTTTATATGGGACGCCGCCACAGCATGGCTTGCCAAGCAGTGCGTCGGTGCACGCCCGGGATCCAAACCCGCGAACCCCAGGCAGCCGCAGCGGAGCACGCGCACTTACCCGCTTGCGCCACCAGGCCGGCCCCTAAACATCTTGAAATTCCTAACTGCCACCTCCAATGAAGAATGTTTCTCGTGCTGGGAACTGAAAGCAAATGCTTGCTCTTCAGGAGAATCTCACCAAGTAACAGATCCTCTTTAGTTAGTTATTACACATGGCCCAGACAGTAACAATGGTTATTCTGTTCTCCAGACTGTCTAGAGAAATTATATACATTCTATATACATGTAGACACAGATATGCCTTGCTTTTAGGAACTGATGTTCTGAGGCAACTGATTTTTTTCCTCTGTGTCTTTTTTTAACATATATAATTCATATATCATAAAATTCACCCTTTTAAAGGCAACTGATTCTTTTTAGGCATTTTGACTTGACATTTACTCTAGGAAGACTTTGGAAAAGGTGCTTCACTCAGCTAGAAAAGCTCTTATTGTATATATGTATACCTTGCCTTGTTTTACCAAGGAGTTAAGGCAGTAATGTATTCGCATAAATAAAATTACCCACATGAAAGATAAACTAAAAGGTTATTCCAGCACAAGGAAAGTAAAAGCCATACAATTCATTGTTTCAGCCATGAAAATGTTAAGCATCAACTTTTGCTTCCCATAATGCCCCAGGTAAGGAGCTTGCTTTGGCTAAATCTTCGATGCTCAGCTGTCTGCTTCCTATAACTCAAAAAGAGTGGCTTGCTATTAAGAGTTCACAGTGCTGAATATGGCAGACAAATCCAAAGAGAGAAAAGAAATTCAGAAAACTTAACTCCCATTTTCACCTTTTTCTGTTTCCTTCCTGCTTTTTTTGCACTCAGTTCCTTACGTGCCGAAAAGAGAAGGGTTTGTAGGAAGCTTTCTAGTCCATTCTACAGCACTACTGCTCTTCCCCACAGACTGGGCCAGACCCTCCTCATACATTCCTAGAACTCTTTTTCTCCTCCATCCCACATCAACACCCCAAACTCGCATTTCTCTGCTGCCTCTGCTGTCAAGAACCACCTGTGTGACTGTAGAGGGGTAATTTAACCTCTCTAGGACATCATCACACTTTTTAAGTGAGGGAGTTGGATAGATGAACTATAAGATTCTCTCACCTGGAGTTTCTTGCTCTAGTTTTCCCAAGTACCCATTATTTCCATACCACAGGCCCTCAACCCGTCCCACAAACTGACCACCACGACCTTAGTCTTTTCTGCCTTTCAGTTCCTCATCCTCAGAGACCTCAATTCATATTTATGACACGTAGGCAAAAATCTCAAGTCGTCAAGACGGTATCTGTTGTTGAAACAGTCAACCAAAGGTCTTTCTACGTGGAAAGCAGAGCTAAAGGGGTAAGAGAGCAAAGCCCGACACTCAAAAGGACAAGAAAGAAAACAACTTCTAGTTCTCGGTTAACTACCTTCAACAGTGTTTTAAACCGGTATCATGCACATGGTGTCTGGAGTCACAAGCCATGGTTCGAATTCTGGCTTGCCACTTAACTAGCTCTGTGACCTTCAACAAGTTAACTTGGATTTTTGAGTCTCAAGTTTCCTTTTCTGTGGGAAAAAAAGCGGGGGGGAGCTAATACCTCATAAAGTTGTTGAGAATTAAATG